ACGCTCTCATCTTTGCCCTGTTTGATCTGTCGTAAGAGGGAAAAGGCCATCTGTCTGTCTGTGACATCGCTGAAATTTTGTGCTAAGTCTCTTTTCAGTTCTTCCCATGTTTCTTCTTCATTCTGCTCTAATCTTCTTCTTATGTGTTCTGAAACCGGGGAAGAACTCATCTGGTATGCTAAACGTTTGATGTCGAAACTTGTCGCACCTGAAAGGAAAGCATACTTTTCTATCTCGTTTACCCACTTTTTAAACTCTTTTGTGTCTCCTCTGAAAGGTTCAATAACCCCTGTTATTTCCCTGTCTCCGAACGCTACAATCTAATCTGGAGACAGCCTTGCTGACTTCTCCTAAAACTCTGCTGAACTGGGCTTCTACTGTTCCCTGTTCTGCCATTTTTAAAAAATCTGGGAAATTAATCTAATGCAAGTAAATTAAAATTGAAAAAACAGAAAATGTCAAATTACCTTGTTGAGTGCGGTCTGAAAAAAAAATTCTCTTTTCACAACACACTGTAATTAAAAATCGGCACTGTCCTGGAATTATTTTCTAAGTTAATAGGAAAGGTAGGGAAAGATAAGAAAAGGTTTTCCCTACACCACTGTAAATTGAAAATCACAATATATTTAAAACTAATTAATGTTAATGTTCAAGGTTCTTTAAAATCGCGCTTATTTTGCAGTTCCTATTTGTAAAATCAGACAGCTCACAGTTCTTGACTTTCCTATAATCTTCCGAGTGTGTAAAGTTAGGAAAAGTTTATATTATGGCTCCAGACTAGAACGGTTTGCGGGCTCGGGCGTGTCCCCCCCTGATTCTAGTGTAGACGGTTTGCTCCGGGCTAGAACGGGCGTGTCCCCCTGATTCTAGTGTAGACGGTTTGCTCTAGAACAGGCTAGAACGGTTTACGGGCGTGTCCCCCCTGATTCTAGTGTAGACGGTTGGCTCCAAAAGGTGGTGCAGGCTGTTGGTCTGGTTTACGTCTCTCTGTTCTGATGACAAGTTTTCTCGACTTTTCTTACTCAGCAGGCAAAATCATGAACTTGCTTTTAGTTCATCTTTTTATAGCAGTTGCTTATTTGTTATGTTGTAACAGCAGTCTTGTTTTTAAAGATGTCGAGTACACAAGACTGATCGTTGGTCACGGCACCAAATATCCTCATCACTTGTCTAAACGGGGCGTCTGTACATCCCCCAAGAAATAGATGTGCCTAAGTCGGCCAAGTGAATGAATATAGTTCGTATCTCTCTTCAATCGTACTCAAGAACAAGGCCAGTGATGTAACAATTACACAAGAGCTGTTTATTTACAATATTCCAGTCATAGAGGCTTCATAAATTCAATAGTATATGAACACTGTATTATCTGGATACAGGCTATTCGTATGACTCTCTACGAGTTCCTTAACCACTGTTCTAGCTAAACTCCAAGTTTAACATATACCTTCTAAACGAAGTAAATCACTAGTTTTCTCCTAACCTGTCCTATCAAGCGGTTCCGTGGCTAACTGTCCTCTCCAGCGGTTCCGGGACTAACTAACCTCTCAAGCGGTCCCGGGGCTAACTAACTTCTCAAGCCCCTGGCTCTGACTTTATTCCCGCTTTCCCGCTCCTCCTGGCGTACCTTCTCCATCACTTCTCTGTCACCTGTCTTTGGTGGTCACGTCTGGATGAACGTATCTCATCCGCTGGTCACAGTTCACGGGCACTCGTTGAATGTTTCATCCCTCACTGTCAGATGTCATGGCGGTGTGTTCTGCATAGCTGGCTAGGCCATGGCTTTCTAATCACCTATTTCTGTCATTTCACACAGTGATGGATTAGTACGCCGTGTGGTGGTCTGAAATGTATGCTTGTTCATTTAACCCCTTTCTGCCTATATTTCATTACACTCACAGCGTAAGTAATAGGGCATAAGTAATACAACCCTCCTGGTGGATCCAGACTTTTTTTTTCATTTGTAAACCAACTGGCACCTGGAGAGTGATATGGTCAGCATCACGCCGGCCACCTCTATTTCCCAGGACTGTACCTGGTACCAACACAAGGTTAAGTTGACCTGGAAGTTGAAGTCATTTTTGAAAAAAAGTTTGGTTTTGTCAGGACCCAAACCTATGCCGTTCTGATCTGCAGTCGAGAGTCTAGCTGTTACACCACAGTGACTCCCTATACATGTGTAATAGAGTATATAAAAGACAGCGAAAATAATAGAATATAAGTAACACAGCATAATAACATAGCATGATTAATACACCATTAGTCCACTAATTGATTAATCACAGTTTCAGCTTCAACAGAAAACGGTTCACACCCAGAGCTGCTCCATTCCTGTCCCTACAAAATCCACACAGAGTGCCCATCACTGTCCTTAGCAAAGCCAGTCAATAGCACACACATTCAGCAAATGAATAAGGCAGCAGTCAGAAGTGCTGACACAACCAGTCTGGCACAAGAACTGCAGTTTATCATCGGTGTAAACAGCAATTACAGAAAATGTGTAGTTGCACCGCAGTTAATAGCATAAGGCCCCACTATTTTCTTATTCTGCAGTTCACAACACAAACTACATTGGTCAAAGTCGGAGAGCATTTTAAATTAAATCCACAACTCACAGTGTCACACCCTGTGCTTGACTCAGCAGCTGGTGACATAAATACACACTTTCAGTTCACATATTGGGAGCCAAAAGCAAATAATTTACCATGTCTAAAAACCTGCCTATCTGCTATATTGGACTGGAAGTCACATACAAAAACATCATTTATTACAACCTAAGTAATACAGCATTAGTAATGAAGTAAAGGACCCTTTTCCCTGCCTTTAGGGCATTAGTAATAGTCCCATATTAATACTTCCATGGAAACAACTTGTGTGACATCAATGCACTTTAATATCAACAAAAATAATAACATCTTTGACATAAAGGGAATCATATGACAGATACTGCAATAGATTTATCAATTGTTAGACCTTCACATTGCAAAAACATCAAGAAATCCATCACCCAAGGTAGGTGAGAAGTGCAAGACAAGTACAGAAAACCACAAAACTTGGCTACAACCTGGTGTCAGTGAGATGACAAAAGAAGAAGAAGACCTTCACACAGTCTAGAACAACTTTTCCCATCAGGTGAGCCACCAGGGGTCAGTGGAACATTAATTTAGAAAATCACTTCCAGTTCAGTAGATAACCATCAAAGATCAATTGAATAATGATACCATCATTCAAACTGTGGCAACGACACCTTGTTCTAGATTCACCGATAAATAGCAGATCAAGTGATCAGCTACAAGAGTAAGAGGACGGTCGTGAAAAATACCAATTGACAACATTAAAGACACACTACGTCTCAACGGCATGGCAATAGCCAGTGGCAGCCAACATGCACTGGATTGCAAATTAGTCCTCCTCACGTCCCTTAGCAGGAGAACTGGTTTATGATGATAATGATGGACTTCCAATTCAGAATGCAATCGTTTGGGTACTGTGAACCGACATTACTTCATGTGTTTACCACTTTGCAGTGTAGGCGGAAAGGAGGTTGAAGGGGGGCAGGGGTGGGTCTTTGAGCCTGAGAATTTAGGGCCCCCTGGCCAGTGCTGTTCTCATGAACAGTGAAGGTAATTTTTATAAAAGCCAACAATGTCTCCATAAACTGACCTCAATGTTTAAAACACCCACCTATTCCAGTAGAGACAAAAAGACAAATTATAAATGCAATCTTCATACCAACCTTGTGCTATCAGTGTCAGACTTGGATAATGTCTAAAGAACACAAGAAAATTGACCATGTGCTAAATCACATGCTTGAGAAAGACCATGAACAAAACTAGAAGAGATCATGGGAGAAATAAAGAAATTACAAGAACTTTTAGAACAACACTCATAATTAAATTTCTTGCAAAACAAAGACTGAAATATTTTGGCCAAATATTGAGAATAAATCTAATGATTCCAGCAACGGGAGCGTCCAACATGAAAGTAGAAATAGAAAGAGATAGGGGACGATCAAGAAGGAGACTTGAGACTCCACAATATCACAGCACACGGAGAACCGAGCATAGAATGGTTATCAGTTATAATAAACTCTTCAAAACAACCATAAAATTATGGGGTCCTAGCAGACCTGCAGAACATCTTGTACAATAAAGTAAAGTAAAGTAAAGGATCCTTTTCAACACCTTTAGGCGTATAGGGCATATAGGGCTAGACCTATATTTTTGTAGACCAATCGGCACAAGATGGGTAATCTTCTTCTTCTTCTTCTTCGCGTTCACCAGCTGTACACTCTGGCGGAAAGTTCTGGTTGATCGTCCACTACTGAACTGCAGTCCCGCTCCAGAACCTGAGTGTTGCGTGTGCATCAGTTTTACAGATCTCATTCTCTTGAATACAGACTGTTGGTTCCTTGCCTCTCCGGCAGATGCACTCCGACTTCAAAGGAAGCTCCTCAATTAGTCGACTCTTACGACATGCTTTTGGGGAGGCAGTGGGTCTATTCTTGTTTTCCCCACAATGGGGCCCCGGAACCCACACGGGGGAAGATGGGTAATGTGGTCAGCCTCTACTTCCCTGGACTGCACCCGGTACCCACTCAAGGCTGGGTTGACCTGGGAGCCAAGGTCAGTTTTGAAAAAAGTCCGGCTCCGCCAGGGAGCAAAACCACCACCTTCCGATCTGTGGCGAGCGTATCTGTACAATAGAATACATCATATGTATTTTTTCCCATTATTTACAATAATTTACATAGGCTACAGATTTTAATGTGTGTGTGTTTTTGTGTTTTTTTTTAAAATACAACTTTTATAACCAGTCTGAATGAAAATAATGTTGAAAATATAAATTCGACTTATGACCTGTCTGACATTTGACCTGTTAGTCGGAACAGAACTTGGTCATAAGTCAAGATGACCCTGTAGCTGCATGATGCTTCTATTAAAACTGACCAGTGTCCACCAACGTCAGTATTGCCTTGTTTGACAGACAGACAAGCCATCTGATTATGAAATATACCAGTTCCATTTACTCTCGTCATCACTGTCTTCATCATTTTCTGTCTCTTTGCTCTTCTGTACCCCAGGAACTCCTCTTGTGGAATTGACTTTTCGCCATATTCTCCTGAGAACGCAAATAAAAGTGTTTAGTTTTACTTTAACAAGGCTAAAGCTCATTTTAAAAAATGTACAGGAATGCAATTGTGCAGATTAGACTTTCATTTGAATCCCATTATGGTAAATCTGACTCCAACATAATTAATTTAATTAAATACCAATTTCTAGTTCTGCCATTAAGTGTCATGATCAGCACCAGTATTCAATCAACTGCTAGATGGGTAGCAAAAGCTACTGTCATCCCATGACGGTTTCAGTCAGTCAGTAGCATGTCCTTTGCAGAACCTAGCTCCCATAACAACCTTCCGTAAAACTTCTTGATCACAAGAAGTCCTGCGTCCGATAGACCCATCTGGAGATCATCCACCACATCCCGAAATCATCTTCTCTTCGGTCTTCCTCTTCCCTTTTTCTCTATTATTGTTACTCTAAACTTTTGTGACACTTCAGGTGACCAAAATATTTAAATTTTCTGTGTTTTATCAGCTTTAATAGCCAGCCTTAGATGCAGAAGGTCTTTAATGTCCTCAATCCAACATCAAGTCATCTTCTGCATTATATCCACAGATGAAGCACAGCCCCTACACCATCTCATGACAAGCCATTGTAACTTCCTTGCTATCTAAGGCTAGCTCTACCTATGTCTTTCATGGTCTAGTTTCCGCCTTGATGTTTTTTCCCATCTGTTTTTTTTTAATGAATACACTCTTAGACTATCATGTTTTTAAGTATGAAAAGTTCACTTTGTGGATGTTATCTTTCAAATGATTAGGACTTTACTACTTACAAGAGGGATGGTTCCAGCTCAGACAAGAGGCGTTCTTCAATTAAGGTATCAATGAAGGTGAAGAAGAGATGAGGAAAATGAGGTAAAGAAAAGATGGAGAAAACAATAAAAAAAAAGATGGGGAAAAATTGGGTGAAGAAGAGATAATAGAAGTGGGTTCATGAAAAGATGGAAGAAGTAGGGTAAAGAATAGGTGAGAAAGACGGGCTAGTGAAAGAGATTGGAGAAATAAGGAAAAGAGGAGAGAAGGGGTAAAGAGAAGATGGGAAAAGTATAGTAAAGTAGATGTTGTAGAGGTGGGGTAAAGAGAAGGTGGGAAAAGTAAAGAGTAGTTGACAGAAATGGGGTAAACAGAAGATGAGGAAAGTAAAGTAGATGTTGTAGAAATGGGGTAGAGAGAAGATGGGAAAAGTATAGTAAAGTAGATGTTACAAAAGTGGGGTAAATAAGAGAATGGATCTCCAAAACTTGTGCACCTGTGAACCAAAAGTTCAAAACTGAAGTCATGACCTTCAGAAGTCATGGATAATAGTTTAACCTCTTTACTGCAAGCTTTTGAGAAGATTAAAAAAATGGAAAAATAAAGTGTGTGTGTACCTTGCATCTTTTTCACTTGTGTCAGCTTGTACTATTGCTTCCTCTAATTCAGACTCCATCTCTGCAATGCTTCGCTCAAAATATTCATTCTGTTTCAGGAGTTTCTGAACTTCAACCTGCATTAAATGTTGTGGAAAACAAAACAAAAAATGTCAATAAACATTTTAATGTTTATGTAAACTTTCTATATATTTGATACTGGACTGTATTTCTTACAAATAAGACAGCCATTTAACCAAACAGTGAAACGACCATTTAACCAAACAGTGAAACGACCATTTAACCAAACAGTGAAACAACCATTTAACCAAACAGTGAAACGACCATTTAACCAAACAGTGAAACGACCATTTAACCAAACAGTGAAACGACCATTTAACCAAACAGTGAAACGACCATTTAACCAAACAGTGAAACGACCATTTAACCAAACAGTGAAACGACCATTTAACCAAACAGTGAAACGACCATTTAACCAATCAGTGAAACAACCATTTAACCAATCAGTGAAACAACCATTTAACCAAACAGTGAAACAACCATTTAACCAAACAGTGAAACAACCATTTAACCAAACAGTGAAACAACCATTTAACCAAACAGTGAAACAACCATTTAACCAAACAGTGAAACAACCATTTAACCAAACAGTGAAACAACCATTTAACCAATCAGTGAAACAACCATTTAACCAAACAGTGAAACAACCATTTAACCAATCAGTGAAACAACCATTTAACCAATCAGTGAAACAACCATTTAACCAAACAGTGAAACAACCATTTAACCAAACAGTGAAACAACCATTTAACCAAACAGTGAAACAACCATTTAACCAAACAGTGAAACAACCATTTAACCAAACAGTGAAAACAACCATTTAACCAAACAGTGAAACAAACCATTTAACCAATCAGTGAAACAACCATTTAACCAAACAGTGAAACAACCATTTAACCAAACAGTGAAACAACCATTTAACCAAACAGTGAAACAACCATTTAACCAAACAGTGAAACAACCATTTAACCAAACAGTGAAACAACCATTTAACCAAACAGTGAAACAACCATTTAACCAAACAGTGAAACAACCATTTAACCAAACAGTGAAACAACCATTTAACCAAACAGTGAAACAACCATTTAACCAAACAGTGAAACAACCATTTAACCAATCAGTGAAACGACCATTTAACCAAACAGTGAAACAACCATTTAACCAAACAGTGAAACAACCATTTAACCAAACAGTGAAACAACCATTTAACCAAACAGTGAAACAACTATTTAACCAATCAGTGAAACAACCATTTAACCAATCAGTGAAACAGCCATTTAACCAAACAGTGAAACAACCATTTAACCAAACAGTGAAACAACCATTTAACCAAACAATTAACTAGTTAAACAACAAACTAAACAGCCAACTAAACAAGCAGCAAACCAAATAGTCACCCATCTATAACACTGGAGCACAAGCTCAGCCTTTTTTGTGCCAAGTTACAGGGACACATCTCCGAGTTTCCTGCACTAAATAATGTTTACATATGTTGGTAAAGTCTGTTGTGCTTTGTCTTTAGTCTGAATATGACACACTGTCCCTCTCTAGACAGGTGATAAAGCGAGTCTTGGGGAGAATGAATGAATGAATCAATCAAACAATCATGAATTGAAATCACTGCACTCGGGACATTCCCACATGTGCTCCGTCCCCTTCTTCAGTAACAAAAAAAAAGAGTTGACATGCTAACAATACCAGTGGCAACCTGATTGAAAGTCCATCTGTGTTTCCCCTTAAATGTTGAATATTTTCCAGAACCTCTATACTCTTCCCCCGCTGAATTAGTCTTTCAATGAGTGGATTCCCAAACCTCTACTCTTCCCCCGCTGAATTAGTCTTTCAATGAGTGGATTCCCAAACCTCTACTCTTCCCCCACTGAATCAGTCTTTCAATGAGTGGATTCCCAAACCTCTACTCTTCCCCCACTGAATTAGTCTTTCAATGAGTGGATTCCCAAACCTCTACTCTTCCCCCGCTGAATTAGTCTTTCAATGAGTGGATTCCCAAACCTCTACTCTTCCCCCGCTGAATTAGTCTTTCAATGAGTGGATTCCCAAACCTCTACTCTTCCCCCGCTGAATTAGTCTTTCAATGTGTGGATCTCCTATCTGTTCTTTTGCACTGCCCATTTGATCCCATAGAGCAGCGGTTTTCAACCTGCGGGTCGCGCCCCTTTTGTGGGTCGAATGACCCTTTCACAGGGGTCGCCTAAAACCATCGGACAGCATATATTCACTGAAGTTATGAAGACGCAACGACAATAATTTTATGGTTGGGGGTCACCACAACATGAGGGATAGCATTAAAGGGTTGCAGCATTAGGAAGGTTGAGAAGCACTGCCATGGAGCCTTCACCACACCTGCTTAATCACATAGTAGCTCATGACATAGAGAAGTGGTTGCAGCCAAACTTTCAGCCTACTCATTAACCAGAACACATGAATGTCCTGGACAGAAAATCCATAATGTGCTCTTCATCTGAGTCTTATCGAGCAAGCCACTCTGATCGCGGGTCACCAGTTTACATTTTCCTAAGCATGCTACGTAAGTCTGTCTTAGGGAGAAAATTGGGTGTTAGTATTTTGTCACCTTTCTAGAAAAGAACTACAAAACCAAGGATAAGATCTCAGACACATGAACTTGTATGCCACATGGCAGGATGTGTGATGACAAAGATGTTGACGATCCTGAACGAACACAATGGCATTACTTACCTCAGTCTCTTTGATGCATTGCTGCAGATGTGTGCACACAGTCACAGAAACATACTCTGTTCTGATTTGATGTCGGAGGTCATTCAGCTCATCCATCTTTTCTAATATCAAGGCCTGAAACAAAAGTGCCAATGTGAGACTAAATTAAGCAAACCAGCAAAGAAATGTGAATCTATACTTAATATGATTTGGTTTTAGCTTCTTCTTCTGAGCATTTTTCTTCTTCTTCTCCTCCTCCTCCTCATCCTCCTCCTCCTTCTTCTTCTTCTTCTTCTTCTTTAAACACTTCAGGTGTCAAAGGGATATATAAAGTTTTGCTTCTTGCTCTTCTGGCCGGCCATGGACACATTGTGCTGCTGCTGAGTTTCCCTGATGTCATCTTTCCATCTTGTTCTTGGTCTATGACAGGGTGAAACATGAGGTTCTTGACCTGGGCAAGAGGAATCATAGTACACTAGAGGTTCAGGGTATACAGATAGATAATAGAAGCACAACCTGGAATATAGTAAATATTTACGCTGCGGTTAACTCTCTTGTCACAAAGGAATATTGGTACTAGCTTAAAGAGTTGGAGGAAATCACTGGTTATAGGCTTCCAATTTGTGGGGATTTCAATGCGCAGAAAAGAGCAAAGGACAGTATTGGGAAAAATACACAAGGAAATGCTTTAGCACAGAATACGATGGATGCAGACGTAGTCTATATAAAAGGTAGTAAGGCAACTAGAATGGCAATGATACCTGGTGATGCAGACATGGTTATTGATTTGGCATTTGTTACCCAGTCATCAGTGCTGGACACAAAATGGAGTGTCCTAGGCGACCATGGGAGTAACCATGTGCCATGCTCAATCTTGATTTCAAAAGCTAGCAAGGTCAGGGCTGTGAAAACATGCAAGACTTTTAATTTAAGTATGAGAGGGCCAGTACCCTTCTTGGACGCCTTTGACAGATGGTATGCAGCAGAACTACCACCTCTGCTTTTTGTGCGGCCTCCACAGTAGACCCAAGAAGTAGAAAAGGCATGGAGAGCAAAGCGAGCAGCAGTTAATTACAGAACATGCCTAAGACACCTCACAGGTTACAAAAGGATGTATAGAAGCTAAAAAACCAAGGATAAGATCTCAGACACATAAACTTGTATGTCATATGGAAGGATATGTGATGACAAAGATGTTGACGATCCTTTACAAACACAATGACATTACTTACCTTAGTCTCTTTGATACATTACTGCAGATGAGAAGAAATGCTGGAACAATTACAGAAAGTGTGAAAGGCACCTCACAGGTTACAAGAAGATGTAGAGAAGCTAGAGAAAGTTTGAAAAGAAAAAGTAAAAGAATTCAAGCATTGTGCAGCAGATGCAAAAAAGATTAAATGGGAATATTTTATGAGTGAAATTGGAGGGGATAAATCAGTGGGTAGGTTTTGGAAACTGCAGAGACACTTGCGAAGGAAGGATTGGCCCACCACAACAGGGCTTATATAAACTGATAATGGGATGCCAATGACTAATAACATCTAGTCATCTTCTTGTGAGATGCAATGTTTCTCTATTTTGAAGCCCCACCCTGGCTCTTGCCAGGGGCTGCAATATAGCCCGACCCTAAACATGGTCTCATGGCTGAACGCGGTTTCTGGGACCTCTCCACGGGTGATCCTCATCCACATGGTGGCCCTTTGTGTCATCGGGTGTTTATCGCTTGTGTGATGTCCTAGTGGGGTAAAAATCTGCTACTACTACTACTGCCAATGACAACAGACAAAGAGAAAGTAGAAGCATTTTTGAAGAGATTAAGAGACCAATCTGATCTTAATGGTAGGCAGCTTAGAAATTCAGTTATAGATAATCTGTCCTATACTATAAATGATAATTATTTTCAGGATATCATTAGGGTGAAGGATATAAAATATATATTACAAAAAGAGAAGACACTGCGCTGGGGCCAGACATAGTGAGGTTTGCCCACATGAAAAGCATGAGTAGTGAAGACTTCAGGGAGTTGGCATTTCACTTCAACCAGAGCGTCAGAACAGCATCAGTACCCCAGGATTGGGTACACAGCTACCTGATCCCCCTTTCAAAACCAGGCAAAGATAATTCCAGACTCGGCGGTTTAAGGATTATCACCCTACCAAATACTTTTGGCAAGGTGCTAGAGAAGATTATTGCTGTTAAACTACAAATGTTTTTGGAAAGGGAAGAGCTGCTGCCAAAAGGTTCAGGTAGTTACCAGCCAGGAAAAAAATACATGATCTAATGTAGCTACTTTTGCTTTTGATGTTTATAAACCATTTGATTTGTTGTCTTTATATGGAATTTAGAAATTTTTTGCTGAGTTTTTTTTCTAGTGACCCCATTTTGATTTTATAAGGCATACATTAAAAGAGGAGAAGGAATGCGGAGCATGTGGTAGACAAGATGGAAAGATAACATCAAACTCTACAACAGCAGGATGTGTCTGTGGTTGAGCCACCAGAAGAGCAAGAAGTAGAACCTTATGTCTCCCTTGATAATCGAAAAAAGAGGTAAAAGAATAAATGGAGAATAAGAAGAAGAAAAAGCGAAGATGAAGAAAACGAAAAATGAAGAAGAGAAAGAAGAATAGAAAATGAAAAGAAGAAGAAAGGCATACTGAGATGTAACAGGTCAGGATTAAAAATGGTAAATTCTGGCTGGGAATGGGCTATTGCGGGTAACAGTGATGCTTCATAAAGTTACCTTCATATGCTCTAATGCAGTGGACAGTTCAACAGGTTGTTGTTTTTCTTGACTACCATCTACTGCAGGTTTTTTGACTGCTGGAAGAAATATACAGAAGTTTTCATTTAATCTGGGCAATTTGTGTGTGTTTTATTATCACAATCAACACTACAACACATCGGGAATTTCCAGTCATTCCATTGAAGCAGTCATCACAAGATACTCCTACTGACCATTTCCAGGCAAAGCTGGTTATAATGTCTCCCATCCTTCTTCTTCTTCCTTCTATCCCCCAATGGAGCATAGGTCCTCAATCAACTCACACCAAGTCATTATATCCTTCGCTATTGAATGCAGCTCTCCCCATGTCCTCGCCATCTTTTTAACTTCACCCTCCAGCTCCCTTCTCCATGTGTTTTTTTGGTCTACCTTTATTTCTATGTGGGTTTCAGTGTAAAGACATTCTAGTTGCACTGTTCTCAGGTTTTCTCAACATGTATCCTACCCAATGCCAGCATCTTTTCTTCACCTCTTGGAACTCCTATCCTTGCAATAAGATAATATCTCTACTGCTTCCAAACCAAGTCCTTTTTTAACAGTCTGGTCACAGCTCATTCTGAGAGCTGTATAATGCTAGAGACCATAAAGCAATAATCATTAAATGTTCACCTAATATAAAAGATAGTAATCCTGTTTCTCAACAACAAAAACAACAAAAACTGAGTAATTAATAAACATTATGTATTAAACACATTACCTTAATAAGGCAAAAAATAATGATAAAAACATTTTTTTTTCTCCAAAAACTACAATAAAAACCGAATTAAAAAAGATAGTAATAGTGTTTTCAAACAACAGCGACAACAAAAATCAAGTAATTAATGAATATTATATATTAAACACATTAATAAGGCAGATAATCATAATAAAAACATTTTCTTTCAAACTACAAATAAACGTTTTAGCTTCTAAAAGTGTAAAATAAGGAATAATTTTCAGATAAATTATTGAAAATGAAATAACTCTGTTATTACTATTATAATACAGAATTCGGTTGTTACCTGGCATTTCCTGACTCTTGTTTAAGATGTCCAGTTCTGATTTCACTTGCTCTTTTAATCTGCAAAGAGAGAGAGAGAGAGAGAGAGAGAGAGAGAGAGAGAGAGAGAGAGAGAGAGAGAGAGAGAGAGAGAGAGAGAGAGAGAGAGAGAGAGAGAGAGAGAGAGTGTGTGTGTGTGTGTGCGTGCGTTTTTTTTTTTTTTAGAAGAATCATATTCACACACACAGGTTTTGTAAGTGCTTCAGTGTTCTCTCAAAATCACACAAAGAGAATCATAGCGTCTTGCACAAACTAAGTAGCCTGTAAAGCAGAATTGGAGGGACTGGCCAAACGGTTAGGAATGCCAGGCAGGCTGTCACTCATGAAACCCAGGTTTGAATCATCCTCGTTAAAGTTATTCACTTTTGTTTTGTTTTTCAGGACAAAAAATAAAATCCTAACGTGCACAGCACCAGGCAAGTTGTCCAAAATTCTCGGGCTCAAAGACCCCCACCCCCATGTCCCACCTACTCGCCATAAATGGTAAATACAGGCAGCAGTGGCAGTACACCAAACCACTCATAATTATCATCATGTGCCCTGCCATAAGCACAGACAGTCATTTTCTGTGTTTGTGTGTTGGCCTAATGACCTCTTATGGAATGTGTTTATGTACATCTGGTGTGTGGGACAAGATGGTAATGTCATCAATGAAATCCCATCCCCCACACAAAAATCAAACTGTCCTGTAAGATTTTCTTGCATTTCATTTCAGGTTATAGCTTATGTTGTCATCATAATTCGGCCTATATTATGTGTAAATAATCATAATGATGAAAGGTATCCCCGTCGCACTCTTGTTTTTAACTAAAACAACTACTTGAGTTTTCTCCTCATTGATTTTTCTTTGAGTGACGACTGTGAAATGGTCGATCTTTAATTTACATACATTGCCACAGGAAAGAGGAGGCATTTAAAAAAACTTTTACTTATTTCATTGCTAATGATGTGCCATAGGCCTTCAATGCTGTTTAACTCCTACAATGCCAAGCTCCTGACTTATCTTTTTCTGTTTTTTGTTTGTTCTGTTTGTTTGTTAACAGTCACATTGTTTTTAATCAGGGATGTGGTTTCAAAGTACCATGACCATGAGGACTGTTTTGCAGAAGACTCTTTCTCCCTCTTCAAGTTTTAAACTGATGGAGTGTGCAAGACATCACATCTGAAGAGAGACATATTGAGTTATGTAAAAAAGTAAAGTAAAGATCCTTTTTCACGCCTTAGGCGCATCGGGTATATGGGAAGAGCGTCCTATATTTTTACAGACCAATCGATTGAGTTATGACTAGGTCATAATCCAGCACATTATATATCGATTGGTTAGGATTAGCTTTAGTTTGGTAATATTTCTTCCTGCCAGGTTACCTTTTCTGTGTTTGCCCTTTAAAAAAAAAGGCGGCTGGCACATTGCTTTGTGGTTTACTACTAGGCTGTCATATTAGCACTCAGGTAGTTAGTGTTCTTTGGATATTTGTTCCAGGTCATGCCGGTGTGTTGGGAAAAGAGCAGGCAGACAGACTTGAGAGTTCTTCCCCACTTGGTGGTGAACTGACGTATGACATGCTAGATGTTGTGAGTGCCCTTAGTGAGCAAGTGAACAGTGCAGAGGCGCAAAAAGATCATTACGGTCTGAGGAGAATGTTACCAGTGGATCTGGCCGATGTTCAACACTCAAGGGCAAGGCAAGATGGATGTACAATCAGATGGGAGATGGAGTGTTTATGAGAGTGCCCCTGAGAGCTAGATGTTGACTCCTAATTCAACATTCAACATCAGCACCTTTTGACCCAAAAAATCCTATTTCAGCATATCCCTTATTAGTTTCCTTTTATGAATGTTTGTTAAGAAGCACTGAGGACCCAAAAAATAGGGCCTCAGAACCCACACAGGGAATTTTAACTCTTTAGATCCTAGGGGGTGTGGCATAAGAGGCCCAAGGGGTAGTAAGGAGAGATGTAGGGTCAGCACATCTTGCATTCACTGGGCTTCTGGGTAGGAACCTATGAACATATAATGTGTTTCTTGGGACCAAAATGCATCTAAATTCAACAGATTAGAGGAAAAACTAAACAGAAAACAGATATTATTTCCAACCTTTGATTCAAATGTAATGCATGTTTGGCGTCTGCTTCAAGTGACTGTAGTCTTTGCCTGGCTGCAGCCATCTTCTGGGGGTCTGAGGTGCCTCCAGAAATCAGCTGGTCAATCTGACTGCGAAGATGATCTGGATGAGGCTGTCGATTCTTCAGAAGTTTGATGATGTAGTTGTCATACTCAGTCTGCATTTTGGAAAATAGTTCAAAGAAAAGGAAGAACTATTAAGAAACTTTGCAAGGTCATCAGTGTGAACAATATGATAGTCTTTTCATGTTAGATGCAGGACTTTGTAGAGAAAATAACCAGAATTTACAATGTAAAAAAAGCTTTTCTTGCAAGATGGAAAGTTATTTATATCTTTTCTTCTTCTTCTTCTTCTTCTTCTTCTTCTTCTTCTTCTTCTTCTTCTTCTTCTTCTTCTTCTGTCATCTCACTAATAAGGCTAAGGATAACAAAATTTACCTTAACACAATGCAGGATATAACTGAAAGTTGGGGACTCTCGTATAATGTCATCCAAGACACTGCTTGCTACCTCCAGGTCTTGGGGGAGAGTGTCAGCATTGTTCAGGTTCGTTGATTCAAACTCCTACGAAAAAAAACATGACAGATATTTTCATATCTATTTATGACAAAGAATCAATATCACCGCACTTCAAACAAACTAAAAAGTCCTTAGTCTTTCCAAGCAGATTTTGAAGAGGATGGACACTGACTGAAGTAATTAAAGGACCCTTTTTTGAACTTTAGGGATCACGAAGAATATAGTATAAAGCCCCATATTTTTCTAAACCTCTTCTACCATTTACTGGTTGTAAACTCCACAGAAAAATTCTGATTGTCTATCCACTTCTATACTTCAGTTTTGTTTAGTAATTTGAATTTTGCATGTACATCCATTTTACTGATCTGGTTTAACTGAAAGCAAACTCGTGGTTTTTCACCTCTCAGGTAGAGGCACTCCAACTTTCAAGAAGAATCTCTAACTAGTCGTATTTTACCACATGTGTGATGCTTGACAAGCAAATTGTTGTAAGGGCCCTTTGGCAGCGAGAAAACAGTTTAAAGGCACAATCAGATCAACATGGTCTGAAGAGAATGATGCAGCGAGGAGCGACCAGGGGATCTAATGTTGAATGTTGAATTAAGAATCGACATCATAGCACTCGGGCAACCCCCATAAGCGCTCCATCCCCATCTTCAGCAGCAAGCGAAGAGTTAAAATTTTGATGGTACCAGTAACTGACTGATCGTGTATCCGTCTCGCCTTTTCCCTGAGTGTCGAGTGTCGGCCAGATCCCCTTGTAACTCCTCGCAGTGTCATTCTCCTCAGACCGTAATTATCTATCTGTTCATCAGCACTGCTCACTCGCTCCCAAAGGGACCTCACAACATCCAGGTTGTCATACATCAGTTCACCACTTAGTGGTGCAGAACTGGCCAGTCTATCCGCCTGCTCATTTCCCAACACACCAGCATTACCTGGAAAAAGTATCCAAAGGATGCTAACTACCCGGGACCTATGAAGTGATGCTTGCCACTCTGCACCAAGCCTGTCTCCACCTTTCTCAACATGTTCTTAGAGTCAGTTACAATGACAGCTTGTGTGTACAGCTGCTTTTCAAGCCAGCAGAAAGCAGTAGTGACTGCCTCCACCTCCACTCTCAAACTAGACATTGTGATATCATATGCCAGGCTTTGTTGCACCAAGCAACGTCCATTCCTCTTCGCTATGAACCCCCTTGCGCTTCAACTGCCCCTCATCACAGAGCCATCTGTACATTCAGGGGATATGGCAAGTGCTCAAACCATAGGGGAGGGTCAAAACAGACAGACTGTACAATCAGACATACAGACTTTCGCTGGTACCATTATAACTAGAACTCTGCATCTGCTGCTGAAGACAAGAATGGAGGACTTATGGGACTGTTTTAAGTGCTATAATGACGGTCTTGACTCAAAATATACGACATGCTTGTTAAGGCAGCTGTAGATCTATTTTTTTTTAACTGGGTGTGCATGTTCGTATGTATGTGGATGTATGTGTGTACTGGGTGCCTATGTGTTTGTGTGTAAGTGAGTGATTGGGCTTGTGTGTGTATGTGGGTGTGTGTGTTCGCGCGTGAGCGTGCGCACATATTTTACCACCCATGCTTTTGTTTTTGACTTCATATCCATAATATGCATATGATTACATGAATATAACATGCTTCATTGATGAAATACAACTGCTGTGTGAAAGATGGAAGTTTGGAAGGGCCGAATGTAAGACAGGCCTGCATGCCTAATTTGTAAATCTTTGAAGATAAAGTTTGTTCGTTCGTTCGTTCGTTCGTTCATTCACTAAGGGATTTTTCTTTTAAATCACCAATTAGAACAATTTTTGGTGGTTGACCAATGGCTTGCCAGCTGCCTTTACTTTCTAGAGCAGTGATTCCCAAACTGTGCACCCCGGCGCCCTGGGGAGCGGCGACCTCTTTATAAGGGCGCGGTGAAATATTGAAAAAGCTTCATAATGAATTTAACCAAGACACAAATAGTCATACTTTTACTTAAGTTATTAAGTTAGGGCCTCGTGAAAAAATTATAATTCAAAAAAGGTGCTGCAACCAAGAAAAGTTTGGGACACACTGGTCTAAAGTCATCTTGAGGGCCTAGATGGATTTTTAAAATCTGCCACCACAATTGATTGCTTTCAAAGTGTTGATATCATAGCACTAAGGACAAACCCATCAATGCTCCATCTCCTTCACAGGTCCTTCATTGTTTGAACAGTATTTAAATGTAATAGAAGTTTTTAATACAAGGGGCAAATGTTATTTATTTTCTTTTTCTTCTTCTTTAGCATTCTGAACCTTTGAGCTTCATTTCTGCAGAAGTTAATCATCTCCATTTTTGTTTCTCTGACTGTCCTTCTCTTTCGAGTCGGTGACTCCAAGGTTTACAGGTTTTCACATGTATTATTTAGTAACTGTTTTTATTACATGAGTACAGTTCAATAAACACATACTTGCTGAAGAGTCTGCCTAAAATGTGTTGCATTTCTCTCCCCTGACAGAGCTTTCAGGTTTTCATGAGCAACAATTTTCTGCAAAACTTTGGCATCACCTGGTTTCATGCTTCTGTTGTGATCTGTTGTTCTTATGATGTCTTGAAAGTTCAGCAGCAAAGGTTCACAGATGAAAGAATATGAGGATTTATTCATTTTTATACCATTTAATTTCGTAATGTAACAAAAATAGGTATCTAACTGGGAAAGATAATTTAACAATACCTTATTTTCATGAACATGTTAATACTTTATCTTTTTTCACCCCCAAAATATGGACTGACATTCAAAAATCCACCTGTCGAAAATCTAGTTCCTTCCAATTTCTAGGATGGATTTTGGAGCTATTTTATTAACTCTTTAAGGGATAGACTTAAGCGCCAGTATACTGGCTAAACGTCCGAAAAGAGTTAAGTTGATGTAACATTCTGGAGATCTTTGTTTTTTTAAAAACTAAGATTCTGAAAGACTATTTTATTCCCTTGAATAACATTTTGTAGAACTGTGTTATTTAGTTAGTGAACATTAAAACTTCATTTGCTTTTTGATCATTAAATATGTTTCTGTCTCTAAAGGACTCTATAGGTAGTCATCTTCTGTTGAATACAAAGAGCATATGTAAAACCTTTACTGCGTGTAGGCAGTGAGTCTCTGAGACTGAGGATTTACAGCTGTATAGCTAGTGCTGTCACCATGGACTGTGAAGACGAGGATTTTATTTGTGCCCCAAAAGAATAATCCCTAACCTTACAGACGATCTAAGCCCAGGTCTCCCAAATTAGAACCCTGCATTCTTAACCATTTGGCCAGCCGATCCTCTATACAGCATATATAATTATTCAAAATCCTGCAGCTTCACAAACTGTGCACTCCTCAGTTCAGGAGGCTGCTAGATCATTGAATATCAACCTGTATAGAACTGGACGTTAAACATAAGAGAACAGTCAGGGAAAGCCTGATAACTGGAAGAAGTGGCAGACCGAGGTGAATATATATATATAATATATGTATATATATATATATATATATATATATATATATATATATATATATATATATATATATATATATATATATATATATATATATATATATATATATATATATATATATATATATATATATATATATATATAGATATATGGGTATATGCAGACACCTTTGGCATAACGTAAACATTTGGATAAACTGTTATGAATTTTGACACTGAAAAAAAATGATAAGCTAAATGACATTAAAAAAAACATATTATCTTTTCACCAAAATCAGCATTATGTACAGCCCTCGTCCATTCATTCAACGGTTCAATTCATGCCCAACTGTTCATCACAAAATCACAGTTTTCTCATTCCACATGCACTTTCTGTCATCATTATGTTACAATTTTTTTTTAAATTTCACAATCTGCACTCGCCCTAAAAAGAATGATTACTATATTGTATTGTGGTTTACAGCTAGGCTGTGGTATCTGCACCTCTCAGACCAACACATCCGGTTCAGTTTCAACTGCAGGCAATTTAACAGTTGACCACTTTATGCTGATTTTAACAGTTTTAGCGAGCTCTACTCATTCAGATCAGAAAGCAATGTGTAACCAAACAGCTAACAAATACAACAGTTGGTTCTGCAATGTGCAGAAAAGGAGACACAACTAACTGTTGGAGCAGTTGGTCTATTCTTTGTGTCTTAAAAATAATAGGGCAGGTGGTCCTCTCTGAGAATAATTAAGAGACAAATAAAAGGTAAACTTGCAAGTGAAAGACAACCGGCTTAAATGAGCAGATAACTGAACACCCAATCCTGCCAACTTGCAAAGCCAAGGTATCAAATAAATCTGATCAGAAATAGCATTACTGTGTTTAACAGTATCTATGCAACAAAACTTACTGTGAGAATTTGTTGATGAAACTGAATGTCTATGCAGGGCAGGTAATTCTAGCTGTGTTCTTCTAGCTGAAAAGGAAGCTGGTGATGAAATCATGATCTTTCTCTCATAAGATGACCAGTTATGGCCAGCGTGATTCAGAGAAGTTTTCTGATGCACATGATGATCCAGTTTTGTCAGTTCATGAAGCGGTATCTCTTCCACAAGAACTCCATCGTCAAGCTCAGAATAAAGTGACCCAGCACTCTTCTGTCTAGGAGTTTTTTTTTCATCTGTCTCTGAGTCTTTCATAAACCTATGATGATTTCAAATGAATGTTATGCAAGGCCATTCTGTAATCGCAAACACCATTTGAAAGACAAAAATAATACAACAGAAAAAGTAACATGTCCTAGCAGAAGATAAAGGGGGATAAAAAGGGGGAGGGGGAACTGCTTCCGAATTGACTTTCCTCAAAATTTATATTCCAACATCACCTTTTTAATATGCACCACGCTGTCATGTGCTTATCACTCTTGACATTTTTAACAACACTATGGGCAGATTACGAGGCAGTGGCCCAGTTATTTTAATTAACATCACACTTTTAAGGTTTTCATTTGAAGCCCTCTTACAGTAAAAGAGCTGAACAGAGTTTCTGGAATTTGCACCTGCTGATTCACATCCGAATAACAGCTGCTTGAGCCATCTGGTGAATCTTACAAGCTGCAATAATTAACTCTTTGAGTCCCAGGGGGTTTAGCATCACAGGCCCAGGAGGTAGTCGACAGTCATAAAATCGGCGCATCGTGTGTTCATTGGGCTTCTAGGTAGGAACCTATGAACGTATGATGCGTTTCTTGGACTCAAAGAGTTAAAGGAGAAAAAAAACACAGCAATATCTAAATCAAAGCAGCCATGTTGAAGTTAGTGTGCTTGTCAGCCTAGACAGTGGTCTGGGTTCAATCCTAAGCAGAGGCACAATGATTTGTTTTCTGTCCAATACAACAATGGGGTTTGACCTGGCTTCAGTAATGCTGGCACCAAACAATTGTCCAGAATTTTCTGAGACTAGTCTGGGAAGGAAAAGTAATGAAAGAAGCTGGTCCCACCACCCTGTCAGTCATAGCCTGCGATATCACTACACAGTAAACAGCAGTACATCGATATATGTCCACTTTTTAAGTCAAACTGAGGGTGCGTGGTCTCGAGGCATGGCGTCCGCCTCGAATGCTAGGGGTTCAGGGTTCAAACTCTGGTAAGAGCTGGGATATTTTCATGTGGACTTGGACTTCTATTAATTCCCCCTGGTCTCTTGTTGCGCAAGTAAGAAATCCCTTGGCAGTTGGAAATCGAAAAGAGTAGCCTAACGGCACAGCCTGGGCAAAATTTTGAGTTAAAAAGCTACCCAAAGTATTTCAGGATCCTCGCTGGTGCTACATAGCCTGTGCACTGTGCTGAGCTTCTTTGACTCCAACTTTAGCTGGCATATGTTAGAATTGAAAATAACGTTAGAATTGAAGATTTGTAGTTTGGTCTTAGAGCCTGATAACTTTGAGCTGTTTCTGCTATGGTTCTGATGTTTCAAAAACCAATTTTAGTTTTAGAACAAAGCAATGCACGAGTTTACAAGCTGACTTCCACAAAGTGGTTTTCATCAGTAACTGTTACTGATGCACTCAATGCACCGCACACTGCTAGGTTGTTCTGTTGACTGGAATTGCAACCTTCTTTCCTGCGAGTTTCTGTAGCCATGAAAACAAATCTTGTGGTGAGATTGCTGCCCTCATACACAAGCTCTCGACTTTTTTTTTTTCATGCCAGCTTGGGACTGGCATCATGGCATGGAATAATATCTGTAACATGTATTATTTGTTTCCTGTGTGGGTTCCGGGGCCCTGTTTTAGGGAAAACAAGAATAGACCCACTGCCTACCCACAAGCATGTTGTAAGAGTTGACTAGCTTGGAATTTCCTTAGAAGTCGGAGTGCATCTGGGTGAGAGGCAAGGAACCAGCAGTCTGCATACAAATGAGTCAGATCTGTAAAACGGATGCACACGCAACACTTAGTTCTGGAACAGGACTGCAGTCCAGAAGTGGATGAACAACCAGAACTTTCCACCAGAGTTTATAGCTGGTGAACTTAAAGAAGAATAAGTATCATTTGTAGTACATAAGATGGAAGGCTACGGAGAGACATGTTTGCCAACGTCATATGGTATAAACTATGAAAGGAGACTTTTGATAAGACGCAATAACATTAAACTTACTTGTAACGAATCTCTGGCATTTTGCCTGCATTGCCCTGACTACTGGGTATGACTCCTGATGGACCAAGTGCAAAGTCATATAATACATCCTTTGCTGACCGCTCTTTTCTTGAGACCTGACCTTGATGTTGAGGTTTCATTGGCTTAGTTAAGTCAACTGTTTCTTTATAAGCACTGGCCCAAGATCTGTGCTTCATGACTGCAGGTGCTCTTAAAAGAGAGACTCGTTGAGGTGTCCCCCAGCAAAATCTTTGATGTCCTTCTTTTGTTGGTCTTCAACATCATTAAGAATTGATTTTATGTGACGACCCAGAATAAATTTATATGCCATTATGTTTTTAACATCTCACTGCTTATAGCACACCATGGAAATTACAAGTCCTCATCTGAGAATTTAACGAAAAGACCATAGTCATCCAGAGTACTCAGTTATCTTAACATACAAAGTCCAATTTCCACATCTTTAAATATGCTGTTTTAACATAAAAAGTCAAGTTGTCGCATCATTAAGTGTGTTGTACCATAAAACGTCACATTTTAACACCTTTTTGATGTGTTATGCTAGCATAAAAAGTAACATTTTCACATCTTTATGTGTTGTGTTAACATAAAAGGTTTAATTTTAACATCTTTAGGAGTATTGTGTTAATACAAAATTGAACACAAGGCATATTTGGCATAGGATTCTAATTATTTATCTTTATAGACAGAAAGTGAAACTTGATGTTTCATGTGGTCATTAGCATGCAAGCCAGGATGATTTCCCTGAACATTTCCTGATTCTATTTTAGGTTCAGGTATTTTATTTAAATTCTATATTCGGACTCGGGGTATCATTTGGATATTATCAAAGAAAAACCTAGGTTAAATTAACTTGTGTGAAATGAGATGCCTCAAGAAAGCTCTCAACTTACCCAGCTGAGAAAAAGTGAGAGACAGACTTTGGCAACAACACCAGGCACCAGATTCAATGAGAAACAGAAGATCTAATGGTTTGGTTATCTCGTTAAAATGCACAAACAAAAACTACTACAGGTATGAGGAGAAGTGGTGAAAGCAAGAGGTTACAACAGCAGAGTATAGATTGATGACATTAAAGACTTTTTAGGTTAGCACAGAATGACAATAATCACTGCAACTTATGAAACAAAGAATCGCAAATGGTTCCTCTTCACAATGGTTAACAGCACAAATTGGAAATGAATGATTACGACTATCATGCTGGAAGAAATGTGTACTAGCCACTGCACTCCTATGACAGATGTGTCATAATGAGGGCTTTATTCCTAGAAAGAAGGTGCCGGTATTCACCCCCCTAAAAAAGTGTCTTTTAATAAAAGGTGGCATACTCATCACAAAGTATCTATTACAACAACAACAGAATGCCTTAACTCTTTGAGTCCCAAGGAACACATCTTACATTCATAGGTTCCCACCTAAAGGACCAAAAAATGCAAGATGCACCGATTTTACATCTCTTTTGACTACCCCTTGGGCATCTGATGCTAAACCCCCCTGGGACTCAAAGAGTTAAAAAGTGCTAATATTGCATACCGTATCATACCATCAGAAAAACAAAATCACTTCTTGTAATAACTATCTGTAGTTTTTACAGAAAGAAACAAACTGATGTGGAAGTAAAGGATTTCTTTTAGAACTACTGATATAGTGAGCATATGGTGCTAGATCCTTATTTGGCTTAAAAATATCAGCACTTGATGATGATGTGTGATGTGGTCAACATTATGGTGGCCACCTTCACTTCCTCTACTCTAGCCAACCGTCATTGCGGAGGTGACTCATCATTATTAATTTTACTTCCCATGCCAGTTCCTGGTTTCCATTTTATGCTGGCTCAGTTCATTAACCCCTAATCAATTATAAAAATGCAGCCACATTTACACAAAATTTAAAATCGGCGAATCTGCAATGTGCACATGTGGATTTGCACCTGAGACAACAGATCAAGTCCTCCAAGACTGTCCCAAATACAACATATGAAGGCAAAACATTTGGCTAAAAGAAACATCAGTGCAAGTCAAACTTTACGGGTCGCTAAGTGAATTACAAAAGACAGTGAAGTTAATACTAGAGACAACATTGCAGATAAAGATATTATATTTCAAGCGAACCAAAGAAAAAGCAGATGAATAAGAAGAAGAAGAATTATAAAAATCAACCCTGATGTTAAATCAGAACAAACACCTTCAGATGTGCATACAAGTGTTTTTAATCAGCTACCACATCTTCTAAAGATTGGCGTAGAAAGCATACATATCCAAGTGACAGTTATATTACGAGATGCATCAGCCTGCCTTAAAATCTAATAAATATATAGCTCAACATGCCTTAAAATAATAGTTTTAAAATAAAATGAATCATAATTAATCAGTATCAAAGTCACTGAGTCTTATTCTAATATAATAATAATAGTTTTAAAATAAAATGAATAATAATTATGATACAAAAACGATAACAATTATTCTTATCAACGGTCTATCTCTGCTGAATGTATTTACAATATACTCTAGCTTTAGTTGTGTGTGTGTTTAAATCCTAATACGCTACATACTAGTATCTTTATAAATTATATTTGTGCCTCGGCAACTCAATGGACCGCCATTTTGGTAGCTGCTAGTGTCCATGGTAACTAGTGAAAGGGGAGATAAAGCACGACATTTAAAAAATGCCCTTTATACTAGCGATATGAATTAATCAAGTAACAGAAAGTGTATTGATCGGCCCTCATAGAAAGAAGTAGAAAGATAAAATAACACACTAGACAACATAAAATTCAAAAGCTATAGTTAACATCCCAAGAATTGAACCTGCCACCTCCAGACAACATGTGCGCCTCGCCATAGATACAAGTGCACTAAGATCATGGTCAACTAGGCACCCCACCCGAAAAAGTGTCTTATTTGCCATCTATAGAGGAAATGTGTGAGAGAGAGAGAGAGAGAGAGAGAGAGAGAGAGAGAGAGAGAGAGAGAGAGAGAGAGGGGGGAGAGAGAGTGAATGTTGAATTGAGAATCGACATAACGCTCGGGCACCCTCAAAAGCGCCTCATTCCATAATACTTGAAGAGTTTCAATTCCAATTGTGCCCCTAACTGATTGCATATCCGTCTCGCCTTTCCATAGAATACAATTTTATATGGATTGTGTACTTAATAAAAGATAGATAGATAGATAGATAGATAGATAGATAGATAGATAGATAGATAGATAGATAGATAGATAGATAGATAGATAGATAGATAGATAGATAGATAGATAGATAGATAGATAGATAGATAGATAGATAGATAGATAGATAGATAGATAGATAGATAGAGATAGATAGATAGATAGATAGATAGATAGATAGATAGATAGATAGATAGATAGATAGATAGATAGATAGATAGATAGATAGATAGATAGATAGATAGATAGATAGATAGATAGATAGATAGATAGATAGATAGATAGATAGATAGATAGATAGATAGATAGATAGATAGATAGATAGATAGATAGATAGATAGATAGATAGATAGATATAGATAGATAGATAGATAGATAGATAGATAGATAGATAGATAGATAGATAGATAGATAGATAGATAGATAGATAGATAGATAGATAGATAGATAGATAGATAGATAGATAGATAGATAGATAGATAGATAGATAGATAGATAGATAGATAGATAGATAGATAGATTAGACAGACAGACAGACAGACAGACAGATAGATTAGACAGACAGACAGACAGACAGACAGACAGACAGACAGACAGACAGACAGACAGACAGACAGACAGACAGACAGACAGACAGACAGACAGACAGACAGACAGACAGACAGACAGACAAACAGACAGACAGACAGACAGACAGACAGACAGACAGACAGACAGACGGGTGGGTGGGTGGGTGGGTGGGTGGATGGATGGATGGATGGATGGATGGATGGATGATGGATGGATGGATGGATGGATGGATGGATGGATGGATACACACAGCATTCCTTGTTTGTATTTCACACGGCCCATAAACACAAACCAAATGTAACCTAATTGTCAATGATTAACAATGGAAGATACATTATTCACTAAGCGCTGTGATATCTGCTCACGTGACTTCAGGCTTTAGAAAGGTGTGTATATGTGTTTGTATCTGTGTTTCAATGGCAGGATGTTGAGTAACTGCTTTCTGTAAGTAAATGTTTATATTTGTCATTTTTTTAATTTTATTTATAATTTTATCCTCTAGCCTGAAAGACTGACACCTAGTGACTCAAGGAGGGAAAATTCTGATTGATCGAACAGAAACGAATCCTAGAAATCCTCACCAACCGTATTTTTTTCTTCTTCTTCTTCTTCTTCTTCTTCTTCTTCTTCTTTGCATTATCCGATTCTAAACTCCTGAATTTTGTTTTTACTTCAGAAATGGAGTGTCACCGACACTTCCGCTTTGCTTGAATGTATACTGTTCTTTAGATGCACGATGATTTAAGACAACAAATTTAAAAAGATTTGTCTATTCTTCTATCTTCTTCAGCTGCTACACGCTGCGGGAGTTACGTAGGAAGGCATCTAAGTATTTCTGAACTGTATTATCTGTCAACTAACTAAACTAATGTGGTCGAGGCCATTTGGGAACAAGCAACGGAATCAGTACAAAAAGAAGATTATTATGGCCTGGAGATAATGAGGCACTTGTGTGTAACAAGAAAGTATGGCCGGATCTCTACACTCAGAGAAAAAGCAAGACGGACATATAGCCAGATTGTGACTGGGACCATCAGTAGACGAACTCTGCGATGGCTGTTGAAGATGAGGACGGAGCATGCATGGGAATGCCCTCAGTGCTGTGACGTTAATTATTGACTCAACTCAACTCAACTAACTAAACTAACTAGCTTGTCTTGTGCTTGTGCCTTTGAACAAAAAATAGTTCTGATAAGATTCACTTTAGTACTCCAAGGTATTCCCCATGGCCGAGCGGCTAGACGCTCGCCGCGGATCGGAAGGTCGTGGGTTTGCTTCCTGGCGGAGCCAGACTATTTTCAAAAATGACCTTGGCTCCTAGGTCGACCCAGCCTTGAGTGGGTACCGGGTGCGGTTCCAAGAAGTAAAGACAGCCGGCGTGATGCTGACCACATCACCCATCGTGTGCCGATTGGTCTATACAAAAATATAGGTCTAGCCCTATATGCCCTATACGCCTAAAGGCGTGGAAAAGGGTCCTTTACTTACACCAAGGTATCTGCTTGTGTGTCAACAGGGAAGATAGTTGCCCCATTACTTGATTAGCTTTAGCACATCTCGAGGTAATTGCTCT